GGGAAATACCCAGAGACCTACAAGAATGACCCCAACTAAAAATCTAAGCAGTAGTGAACAGGCTACCTTACATACCCTTCCCTGATAAGAAGATTGATGACTTCCTTATATGCCATCCGAGAGATCTCACCCAGTAGCTGATAGAAGCAGAAGCAGACACCCACAGCTAACTAAGCATGGAGCTGAACTCCCTCCTGGAATCCAGTAGCAGAGAGGGAGGAATGATGAGCAAAGGGGTAAGACCAGATTGGAGAAACCCACAGCAACAGCTGACCTGGACAAGGGGGAGCTCATGGAGCCCAGATTGATAGCTAGGGAACCAGCATAAGACTGACCTAGACCCCTGAACATGGGTCTGAGTTACAGGGCCTGGGAAGTCTATGGTATCTCTGACAGAAGAACCAGGATGTATCCCTAGTGCAGGAACAGACTTCAGGAGCCCATTCTCCATGGAAGGATATTCCCTTAGCCTAGAGACATGGGGGGAGGGCCTAGGCCCTGCCCCAAATGATTTCACAGACTTTGAAGACCCCTAATGGAAGGCCTCACCCACCCTGGGGAGTGGATGGGGGACAGGATGGGCAGGAGTCTGTGGGGACATGGGAGGATGGGAGGGATAGGGAACTGGAATCGATATGTAAACTAAGACAAAAATATTTTCAAAAAAATTTAAAAATGAGTTGAAAATGCAGTTCTTTCTGGTAGACATGAATATGTTCTGAGTTTGAGCCCCAGTGCAAAAAAAAAAAAAAAAAAAAAAAGGAGGGAGCCCCCTTACAATGGATCCATAGAAGGGACGCAGAGTGACTGAGAGGAGCCGAGGGCACTGCAGACCCTGTTGGCATAAGAGATAGGTTTTAGGCATAGGCTGTCCTCTCAGTACTTGGGAAGCTAAAGCAGGGGTTTATGAACCCATGGGCAGCCTGGATTAGACAGCTAGACTTCCTAATAACAAAAAAAAATAGTGATTATCTAATTAATAATAAAGCAAAGCAGGAACACTATGAATTAGCAAGATGAACCTATCACAGAACAAAGTAAATCAGATTTCTGAGGCTTGGCAATGGACATGGTAGCTCATAGCTGCAATTTCAGCAGCTGGGAACTAGAAGAAGGATCAGGACAAGTCTGAGGCCAACCTGGCTACATAGTGAGAACCTGGCTGGCCTATGTATCAGAGAAAGACCCTGTCTCAAAACAACAAGAGAATTCCAGGAGTATTCTCCAGGAGCTCGCAAGACACATGAAACGGTAGACAGAGGGCCCTTAAGAACAATGCTTGTGTCACCAGGCAGAGGCAGCACACACCTTTAATGCCAGCACTTGGGAGGCAGAGGCAGTCGGGTCTCTGTGAGTTCCAGTCCTGCCTGCTCTACAGAGTGAGTTCCAGGACAGGCTCCAAAGCTACACATAGAAACCCTGTCTCTCGGTAACTTAATGGCAATAAATGAGTTAAATATTAAAAAAAAAACAAAAAAAAAAAAAAACTCTGTCTCAAAAAAAGCACAATCAAAATGAAAAAAAAGTATTATGATCCTAAGCAACTTGCTAGGATCAGGACACATTGCCATGCTGGCCGAGAAGTAATAGGCAGAGGTATAGCCATAGGTAGGAGCACAGGGCCCCACAGGGGGATGACACGCCACTTCATACGGCTGGGGAGAAAAGGCTGCAGAGCTGACACTTGTAGAAGACTCCCACACATCCTGCTCCCGTGAAGCTGGGGTTCCTGTCTGCTGAGAGAGTCTTAGGCTACTGTCAACAGCCTTGGGTTATACCAGGCTTTGCTCGGTTGGTTCATTCCTCTACATTGCCTTCCTAAGCCCTGGCATTACAGGTCTCCACTGTCATCTCGGGCATCCTTACCCATTCTGATAAACTGTTGACGAAAGTCTTCCTTTCAAAAGACTAACACCCCACTCCTATCCTGGAAGGTAGCTAACCACTTCCAAGTTCAGTTCTGGTGCAGATCCAGCTTTTTGTTTAAACTGTCAGTTACACTGGTGCAGCCCAGGTCTCAGAAGACGGCACGACAGCACCCATGCACAGGGCCACAAGGCTAGTGACATTCCTGTCCGGAAGCACGAGCACACAGACACCGCCCCACAGACATATCGAGTCTCTGAAGGACAACAGATCTGCACTCCCAAAATGGCTTTTGCATAACAAGGCGATGGCTGTGAAAGAGACAGGACAGAGATGCATTCAATAGCTCCCCACTCTCCATAAGGAAGACATCCTGAGCCTCCAGTAGATGCCTGTTGGGAAATTTCAATACTTGTCCCTTATAGCTCACTTCCTCCCCCACCCAGCTGAAGAACTTCCATCAAACAAGGTTGAGCAAACAAGGTTGTTTTCAGAACTTTCCGGTGTGCAGTGCCTGTACCTTGATCACAGGTGTGCTTGGTATGTGATTTCCTTCTATGATTAGCCCATCCCCTGGTTAGGTTATATAAGCCCACAACTCTCTGTAATAAATGGCAGCAGCTTCTCCTTCACTTCTCTTGGTGGTCTGTTAAGTGTTTCAAACCTGACACCCTCCGGACACTGGTCGCATGGGCGCAGCAGATGCCTGAAAGCTGGGTCATTCTTTCTGTTGGGAACCATCAGCCTGCTGACCCTGCCCCCAACGATGGGCAGGACACTCATGGCCATGTCATGGCCACCTCAGGCTTTACCTGGCTGCTCAAGCTTTACCTGGCTGCCAGAGGACTCGGTTAAGTATGCACAAGCCCCCCTTTTAAAGCAAGCACGCCAAGCGCGCCCCCCTCTCTCTGGCCTTCTCTCTCTGCTCTCTCTACTCTCCCCCCCCCCCCGTTTTCTCTTGGCCACCAGCTATCCCCCTTTCTCTCCCTTCCCTCAATAAACCCCACATGGGCGCCGAGTCTCGTGTTTGTGTTTCTTAGGCAATAGCTGTATCAAAAGAACAACACTGTTTCTCCCCCCCCCCCAGCTTTTATGCCCTGGTTCCTTTGCCTTGTGACTCTCCAGCTTTGGAGACTTCATTAAGTAAGATGGGTTACTTGAGCACGTGCACTGGGCACCCACACATGACAGCTGAGGGCTGCTGAGTGACTATGTGTGGGGAGAGGAGACTCTGGGACACACTAGACAAAGGGAAGACTTGCATCCTAGGCAAAACGCAGCAGGAGGGCATGAGATTTCCCATAAGACTTAGAAATCCTCTGATCTGAAACCTACTACATATTTAAAACTCATGGAGTGTTTATTTCTGAGAAATTTCACTTCATATTTGGCTGCAGGTTACCTGAAACTACAGAAGGCAAAACTGTGCACAAGGGGAGCAGGCTCATGTAACCACCCATTTCCCCCTCCATTATCTCCAAACCTGCTCTGAATAACTTTCACTGAGAACCCAAGGAGCAGATGATGTACCAACATGCACATGCCATTCCCTATCTCCACCCAGCCCAGCTGAATCAGTGCAAGAGGAGAAGCCAGGCTCTTCAGCGGGTGCCAGGGAGCAGGGAGCAGGGCCAGAGATGCTCCAGCTGGGCTTTTGCAGTCTGTGGCTACACGGCAAGGGTGATTTCAGTTTCTTGAATAATCCCAGCAGTTACAGCAGCAACAGGCTCTTGTTGTGTTAGAAAGGTTTGCAGCCCGGCTCCTGAGTCCCTGTTCTCCATTCCCTGCATTCTTCAGGTCCAAGAGACTGAAAGAAACAAGCTCTTTTCTCCTCCTCCCAGCCCAGGGCCACCTGTGTCTCTAAGTGACAGGGAGAGATGAGAACCAACAGACAGGGCCTCCCCACAGTAGTACAACTACTTCAATAACGCTGTCTTCAGAACGGGTCGTGACCACCTGCCAGCCCCAGGGAAGGCAGATGCTGAGAGCTCTGATGTTTTAGTCATCCAGGCTAGTGGGAAGATGACAGCAGGGCTCTGGGACACACACAGAGCAGGTGAAAAGTCAAGCCTTTGCACAGCAGTCTGGGTGAGTTCAATCCAGTTGTCAGGGACGAGGGAGGGGGGCTTCAGGCCTAACAGGAACCTCCATGTTCTTTACAGCAATATTAGACAAAGCCGGGAGACCAGTTTCCAGTGTGGAAGGAGGAAGTGTGTGGCGGGAGAGAAAAGAAACAGAAAGAGAGTGAGTGCCCGGAAGTCACCATCTTGTTCACCTTCCGGGAATTTACAGACTCCGGGCTGTAATCCAGCATCACAACGTTCAGCACCCCGTTCTTCCACCACACAAAGTTGTTTTTTTTTTTAATGGCTTGACTGTTGGTATTTAAAAATAAGACTCCGAAGCCGGCGTTGGTGGCACAGACAGCACATGGAAGGCAGAGGAAGGTGGATCTCTGTAAATTCGAGTCCAGCCTGGTGTACAAGAGCTAGTTCCAGGACAGATTCCAAAGCAATACAGAGAAACCCTGTCTCAAAAAACAAAAACGAACAAAAGCAAACAAACAACATGCTGACACACCCCTGTAAGTTCAGCACTGGGGAGGCTACGGTAAGAGGACTCACAGTTCAAGACCAGCAGTAACGAACCTTAAACCTTAGATGTTCTTGATTTCTCTTGAAAGATCAGCAGGCGACAGTGGTAGGTTCCCAGCTGGCAGACTGGGCTGGCCAGGTGCTGAAACCCAGCACTGGTGAAGTCTGCAGGGCAATGTCCTCTGCCCTGGCCTCGCCCCTGCCTACATGCATCCTTTTTACTTAGTCGTAGCAGAACGCTTCTCAACCTCAGCTCCAACTAATGTGGCCTTCTGCGCCCCTGACATCCCTTCCTGACCATCTCTAAACTGGCACCCAGGTCCTGCAGTCCACTAAGACTAAGCTGTGGGAGCCAGTGCACTGCACACTCGCGCTCCTGCAGGCCAGGCTGAGGCTGGCTGAGATCGGAGCTGGCCAGACTCTAACCTGGCACTGCAGCTTAGACCTGTCGGTGCCTCGGTTCCTTCCCATGAACATGAACAAGACCAGCAGTGTTGACACTGTGGAGTCCCCGACCGACTGCCCCGTGTACGCCTTTACCGTTCTGGTGTCTGGGATCGCCGGGACACTGAGGCCCGCCGCGGACTGCGCTGCTGGCTCCGCTTTGCCAGCTCCACAGAGGCTCTCACAGGCCGTTTCCACCTTGGCTCCAACTGCTCGTATTCCGGCTCTGCGACCCTGGGTCCCCACAGGTTCTGGTCCTCAAGCTCGACCAGTTCTGGGGAAAGATCCCTGGTCATCGCCTGAGCATATGCCATTCTTCTCTGCCCCGCTTGGCTCTGGTTGGCTGGAAACTACTGGAGAAACGTCTGGAGAGGACTTTGTGTCCCGAAGACCCGCTGCCCCCCACCTATCTGTCTTCGAATTGCCTGAGTTTGAGTTGCTTTCAAGAACCAAAGTTTACCGAGGCCAAAGTTAGGTCAGCTGGCTGCTCCTCCTCTGCTTGCACCCAGGGAGGTGCTTCAGTGTCTCCCCGCCCCGGGAGCGCCCTCTGGTGGCACGTTAGACAACCGGACCGTCGTCTCCTTTGCCTAAGAATTGAAAGCACAAGAGGCAACTAGCAAGGGAAAATCTCAGAGGAGAAGCGAGGACAGAATAGAAGACATTCAAACAAATGATGAATGAAGCACAAAATGAACACGTTAGAGGCTAAAAATGTCACACACAGTTCCCTAGCGGACGAGGCTGTCTGCGACGGAAGCACCACAATAGGGCTAGGTGGCATAAATCCTTAGTCCCAACTTTTGGGACCCACTCAAGAGGCAGATCTCTTTAGTTTGTGGTCATCATGAACTACATAGAGAGTTCCAGATGGGCCTAATTAGTAATTAGTAAGATGGGTTAAAAATTGTAATCATACCAGCTTAATTCTGTTTAAAAGGTCTGCTTATTTATCAAAAGAAAATTATATGTACTTGTTAAAAAGTTCTATCTGTGTTTTCTGGTATAAATATAAGTTTGTTACGAACATAGAGGTAAAACAAAACTGCTTTAGATATTTCTGCTGTCTAATGCTAACAGCAGTCAGTCATTTATGGACCTAGTTCAAAATTTATCTCTGAGCTCTGGTCATTAAATTCAGATAACACTGTTTTATGGTTAAATCTGTTAAAAATTAAAACTACTTAAGACATTAAAACGAGTAACACTGGAAAGTAATAATATAAGTTTAACAGTCACCCAGGTGACGATGGTTTTAAAGACATAAAGGGAGATTTATTTCTGCTATTACAAAAAGACATTAAAGATTTTTAATTGTTTTTAAAAACAATTTTTAAATTGTTTAAATTTATAAGGTTACAGGATATTTGAGCTTACATTATATTGTTAGTGTTTGTACTTAAATCAAAGGGCTAAATTTTAAGAGCACAGCCATAAGCTCTATACACTACTAACCAAAAGTTGAGATGCTCATTTTTTATGACACAGTATGACAATGCATCCTTGTTTTTGCTAAATTTGGTAAGCTCAAGCTTGTGAGATAAACTGAATCACATAGATGTTTCATGTATCCCTAAAAAGAGCTTCAATTTAAAATCGTTCTTTTTAAAGCTAATCCTAACAATGTAAAGTTCTAGTTTTATAAAAGCTTTTAACCTATTATAAAATGTTAAGACATACCAGTTACTAGCCATCCTTATAAATAAACTGTTGGTTACAATCAAGCTAAGTTATAAATGATTAATAACGGGGTAGCCTTACTCAGTCACATGTATATGTTTTCAAAAGCTAAGCTTAAAACAAGAAACAAAAAACAAAGTGGTCTATTCAGATCTTCTAAGGCAGACTTCTAATACTACAGAGATCTATAGAATATGGTGTTTAAACTGGTAACTAAAAAGCTTATAATATCAGACAGAGAAGCTCAGATCCTAACAATGACCCAAGGTCTCTAGAGAAGATTATGGGGCACCTAGGATTGTGACGACGCTGACCAGTGAGCAAGATGCTCAAATGGGATGCCTGTTGCCAGGCAGGACCCGGCTCAGACTATGGACAAGCTGCAGGGAACTGGAAAATGGATTGTGCCACCTTTGCCTAGACAAAATAACCTCAGTCTTTTCCATATCCCTCTTCCACGGAAAGAAAAAAAAACTCACTTCATGAACCTGGCAAAAAATTTCTGCTGCCCCCCAATGCTATAGCCACTTGGTATGGCTAAGTGTATATGGACCGGTCGCTGTCATTTTTTAATAGATTCAAAAGTTACATAAAATTTATCCTTATAGATCTCTGGTAGTATTGATGTCTGGTCTAGCCACAACATTGTCAGCTTGGAAGTATTAGGCAGCCTTGATATGGCTCCTAAATAAGGATCTAAAAATATAAACAACATATAAGTCTTAAAAGTATGAAATATAAAAATACAAAATTTAAAATACAAAAATTCAGAGCTTAACAGTTCATAAAGTTCTGATAAGCTAAATGAGCACTGACTACTTGCTGTTCAGTCACAAGTTTTTATTATTTATTTTATTGTCATCTAACTAGAATTGGAAGAAATAGAGGAAAAGACCAAGCAAAAAATGCAAGAAATGAACAAATCTCTTAAAGAAAGTAAGGAAAGCCGGGGAAACGAATCAAACAGTTGAAGGAAACAACTCAAACAGTTCAAGACTTGAAACTGAAATTGAGACAATAAAGAACACACATACTAGGGAATGCTGGAAATAGGAAAACTGGGCAAACGATCAGGTACTACAGATGCAAGCATAACCAACAGAATACAAGAGATGGAAGAGAGAATCTGAGGGGCTGGAGATAAGCAAGAGGAAGTAGATTCATCCACCAAAAGCTCTTAAACACAACAAATCCTTAAAACAAAACATCCAGGAAATGTGGGACACTGTGAAAAGGCCAAACCTAAGAATAATAGGCATAGAAGAAGGTGAAGAAGCCCAGCTTAAAGGTGGAGAAAACATATTCAACAAAATCATTGAAGGAAACTTTCCCAATCTGAAGAAGGACATGCCTATGAAAGTACAAGAAGCTTACCGAACACCAAATAGATGGACCAAAGAAAAAAGACCCCTGGACACATAATAACCAAAACACCTACCATACAGAATAAAGAAAGAATATTAAGAGTAGTGAAGGAAAAAGACCAGGTAACATATAAAAGCAGACCTATCAAAATTACACCTGACTTCTCCAGGGGATCTCTCAAGGCCAGTAGGTCCTGGATAGATGTTCTACGAGTACTAAGAATGCACGGATGCCAGCCCAGACTATAATACCCAGCAAAACTCTCAGTCATTACAGACAGAGAAAACAAGATATTCAATGACAAAGCCAGATTTTCACAATATTCATCTACAAATCCAGCCCTAAAGAAAGTCCTGGAAAGAAACTCCAACCAAGAAACTTAACTACATTCACAAAGACATAGGCAATAGATAATCCCACTCCACCAGAACCCAAATGATAAACTAAGGCAAATATATGCACATTAACAACAACAACAACAACAACAACAATTCTAAAACAAACAAGAATTAACAATAAATAGTCCTTTCTTTCCCTCAACATTAATGGTCTTAACCTATAAAAAAAAAAAAAAGCCTATAAAAAGACACAGGCTAACAGAATGGATACGAAAACAGAATCAATCCTTGTGCTGCATACATGAAATACATCTAAGCTTTAAAGACAGACATTAACTCAGGGTAAAGGGTTGGGAAGAGAGCTTCCGATCAAATGAACACAAGAAGCAAGCAGGTGTGGCTACCCAGATAGCTAACAAGTTACACTTCAACCCAAAATTAATCAAAAGGGATGAGGATGGTCATTTCTTATTCAACACAGGAGAAATCCATCAGTACAAAGTCTCAATTCTGAACAACTATGCCCCAAATACAAAGGCACCACATTGCTAAAAGAAACACTACGAAAACACAAGGCTCATATAAAACCACACACACTCGTAGTGGGAGACTTCAACACCCCACTCTCACCACTAGACAGGACCACCAATCAGAAACTCAACAAAGAAACAAAGACCACCGTGCTTTAAAGTTGGAATTCAGCAACAACACAATCACAGAAACCTTACAAACTAATGGAAACTGAACAATGTTCAATTGCACCATACCTGGATCAAAGAAGAATTAAAGAAAGAAATTAAAGACTTCCTAGAATTAAACAAGCATGAGGACACAACATGCCCGAACTTATGGGACACTTTGAAAGCCACACTACGAGGGAAGTTCATTGCACTAAGTGCCCATATGAAGAAAGCAGAGGATAGTCACTTTAGAGAATTAACAGCACAACTGAATGCCTCAGAACAAAAAGAAGCAAATTCACCCCAGAGGAGTAGAGACAAGGAAATAATCATTTGGAGGGCTGAAATAATAATGTAGAAACCAGGAATACAATACAAAAAAAATCAATGCAACAATGAGTTGGTTTTTTGAGAAAATCAACAATATAGACAAACCTTTATTCAAACTAACCAAAAAGCAGAGAGAGAACATGCAAATTAACAAAATTAGACATGAAAAGGGGGACATAATAATGGACACCCAGAAATTCCAGACAATTTCCAGGTCATACTTTGACAACCTGTACTCCACAAAATATGAAAATCAAAGGAAATGGACAAATTTCTGGATAACAATCACCATATATAAACCAAGAACAAATAAGCAACTTAAATAAACCCCTGATGATATAGAAGCAGTCATCAAAAGTATCCCAACCAAAAATAGCCCAGAGCCAGGTGGCTTCAGGGCAGAATTCTACCAGAAATTCAAAGAAGAGCTAATACCAATACTCCTCAAATTGTTCCACACAAGAGAAGCAGAAGGTTCATTACCAAATTCTTTTTACCAGGCCACAATTACCTTGGTACTCAAGCCACACAAAGACGCAACTAAGAAAGGGAACTACAGACCAATATCACTCATGAACATCGATGCAAAAATACTCCATAAAATACTAGCAAATCATATCCAAGAACACATCAGAGAAATCATCTACCATGACCAAGTAGGCTTCATCCCTGGATTGCAGGGATGGTCAACATACAAAAATCTATCAAGGAGATATACCATATAAACAAACTAAAAAAGAAAAACCACATGATCATATCACTAGATGCTGAAAAAGCCTTTGACAAAATTCAACACCCTTTCATGATAAAGGTCGTGGAGTGATCAGGGATCACAGGAACATACCTAAACATAATAAAAGCAATGTACAGTAAACCAACAGCCAACATCCAACTGAATGGAGAGAAGCTTAAGACGATTCCTCTGAAATCAGGAACAAGACAAGGCTGCCCTCTCTCTTCAATATTGTACTTGAAGTTCTAGCTAAAACAATAAGACAGAAAAGGAGATCAAGGGAGTAAAGATTGGAAAGGAAGAAGTCA